CTCTATCTTCCAAATATAATCCGACATTTCCTGTTGCACATGCTTGTACCACATTCCTTTAGCCAACCAAGGTCCCGTCCTCAGTATACATTCCCATTGCTTGGGATGACATTCTGCAACTGTTGCAAGAGTTCATCCTTTTTTTTTTTTTTTTTTTTTTTTTTTTGAAAACAAAATTTTTTATTCAAAATGAAGATTGAGGCCGAGGTCCTCACAGTCTACCCGGAGCAACCGAACCGAATCATGCTGAGAACCGGGCCCAGCGTCCCTCATGTGATGATGATGGTGATGCTAATGATGATGGACTTCTAGTGATGCTTAGAAGAGTGTAAGATAGTAATTCCGATGATGATGATAATGATAATGATGATGATGATGATGATGATGATGATTAGTATATAAAACTACAATTGCTAAGCACCTCCTGAAACCCACAACAGTTTTTAAAAAAACTCAAGTATCTAAGGGATTTCCAACAGATCCTAACAAAGCTCACCGGAACTGACTTATTCTCTGACAAACTCAACCAGGCCTCACGCCCCCTAACTGCTAGGTTACAGAGCAGCGCGACTCACTCCAGCTCCGACCATTATCGTCCTGTGTCAGCAACCCCCAGCTGTCCTTTAGGATGCCCCCCGTATAGCATCCCCAGATCTCTCTACAAGGCCTCATGCCCTCACCTTCGGCAAGTTACAGGGCCTCACCTCGGCTCCAGCCAGCGTCGTTCTGGCATTGGCCAACCACGAATCCTGAATATAACAGTCTAAATCCAGTGCAGCTTCGTACAACCCACCGACAAACCCTCAGAGACCTGAGAAATTCTTCAAACTACCAGGCATAACAGGAGAAATCCGATCCAAGAAGCTTCCAAAAGTCACCGCTCAGAGAAACTTCCCCCTGCCTCCTATCCCATGCTGCCACCGCCGAGGAAAACCTCCTCGGCCCCAACCTGGAACAAACCCCCTCCTCCCCCCCTTCCGCAAAGGCAGCCAATTCCCTCCTAGAGGATACCTTCGCCCTCCCCTTGTCCCTATCTGCCCCCGTCGGGGTTGAAGGCGACCAACTCTCCCACTCCGGCCCCAGACAAGGACAAACCACAAATCTGCCCCACCCCCGACAGGGCAGCCACTTCCCACCTTGCAGCGCCCCTGTAGAGTAAGGCTCCTCAATACCACCCCCACCCTTCCCCCTAGAGTCCCAACCGTGATCACAGAAGCCCTATCCCGACTGAAGCACATCCATCAGATCGAATCCCTAAAGCATGTGGTAGAACTGAAAATTTCTAAAAATTATGATGAAGCGAGAGGTAGATGAGAGTTTTTTTTTTTGCAGATGGTGATAAACAGCATCCTGAAGATGATGATGATGATGACCAAACTCACCTGCTGATATGAGAGACAAACAAGGCCTTGAACCGCAACACCTGATGATGACAAAATGACGAGGATGGTAGTAATGACTGAATGATGATGCTGATCATACTGAAGAACAGTATCAACAACACCCTATGATTGCAAATTGATGATGCCTATGATGATGGTGATGATGATGATGATGATGATGATGATGATGATGATGATGTCGATGATGATAATCATGATGATGGTGATGATGATGATGATGATGATGATGATGATGCTAATACTGATGTTGCTGCTGCTGCTGATGATGATGACGACGATGTATAGCGCCCTGCGATGAAAAAAGGATGATGATAACGAACACCTTGGATAGTAACCTTGTGATGATGATGATATTGATGATGACACCAATATTGACGTTATGACAATGATGATGATGATGACGAGCAACCTTCGCGGCGCCCTATGAAGACAAGATGATGATGATCATCATCATGTTAAAGCACTGCCGATAATGACGCCACCCATACCTTGATGATGATGATGATGGTGATGACACCTGACATTGGTGATGACGCCTGATGCCGACGAACCATTACCGTGATGATGCTGCCGAACCACGCCCTATTGATGATGACGGTAATAATGAAGATGATGACAAGCAGCACCCTGATGATGATGACGAATGATAACGGTGTCAAACCGTACCCTAGCGATGATGATGGTGATGACACTTGATGATGGTGATGACGCCTGATGCTGATGACGAACCATTACCGTGATGATGCTGCCGAACCACGCCCTATTGACGATGACGGTGATAGATGCTGACGACGAACCATTACCGTGATGATGCTGCCGAACCACGCCCTATTGATGATGACGGTGATAATGACAATGATGACGATCAGCACCCTAATGATGATGACGAATGATGACTGTGTCAACACGCACCCTATTGATGATGACGAATGATGACGGTGTCAAACCGCACCCTGTTGATGATGGTGCAGGCGACGATCAGCGCCCCGTTGACGATACCGAGCAGCGCCCCAATTTTGCTGATGCACCCACTTCCTTATGATTGCAGTCGCCACTGCACTCGCACTTCTGTTTACCAAGGGCTGACTCCACTGTACTTCACAGGCATCGACATAGCCAACGCCTCTCAGGCCATATACCACGGGCAAAAACGCAGCGGCAATGGAGCAGAATGTGGAACTCCTGGGAGCAAAAAAACAATGGGAGTTAGCCCACTCTGCCACATCAGCCTGTGACGTGGTGTGGACTAGCGCCTCCGGTCACCTGCGCGTGCGCAAAGCGCCTGGTTGAGAGAGGAGATGGTCGCCATCGCTGCCGCGCACCTTCACCATAGCCTATCTGCGCGGTGTCCCAACCCTGGGCGGGGCGCAGCGCTCCCGGTAGCGCTGCGCCCCGTCTGGAACCTGTCGTAATACTTTGTCCCGTCTCTCTGGGTAAATTTTGTCAAGCCGGGGGAGGTTCCTCCATGACCTCATAAGGGATGGCCAAAAGTGATCGTTCCGCAAATCCTTCCTTGCCCGTTCCCTTGGGGAGTTTGGGTTCTGTTGTTGGTGATGCCACAGTCCCAACAGTCTTGGAGCCAACATCTCGGCAGTTTTCCAGTCAGCCGTCATCACATCCCAGATGTCAGCGAGGGTACCAATCCCTCGAGACATCCAAGCATTCGCAAACTCCCCAGATCCAAAGCATCGAAAGGGAAGCCCCTCCGAATTAAGCAAAAATGGATTATTAAACAACGGCTGTGTCAACAGTCTTTCAAAAACAAGAGGAGGGGGCTGCAATTTAGGACAGACCCCCCTCCAAGCATTCAATATCCCTGCCCATATGCTGGACGGGAGCCTCTTTCGCTGGTAACTCGGGGTAAGTGTCGCCATGCACTGTTAGGACTCTCCAGGAGATGGCGACAATTGGCTGAATTGGCTATCCTGGAGAGTCCTAACAGTGCATGGCGACAATTGGCTGAATTTTCTCTCTTTTCCCTGTTGGAATGGAGAGATCTTCGTTGCATATCTGCCGCAATCTGCCGTTTGTTGCCAGTGCATGGCACCCATCTCGCAAGCAGTGCCGCAATCTGCCGTTCAGGATCCAAGATGGCCAATCCCCCATTACGTTTTGGCTGAGTTATGATCTGCCATGCCACTTTTGGCAAAAAATTATCATCATTAAGCTCTTCTTTCCACAAAGAATGAGTCAACAAGTGTTGGATCTCCTGCAGCGATGAGGAATCAAGTTGATGGATAGATCGGCGATACCACAAGGTAGGCAGCACGGCATTGTTAACCACTATAGCTCGGCCAAATAAACTAGCACCCTTATAAAACCCAGGGCTGCAATGCAGAGCGCAACCCGGCTATAGAGGTGGACGGATCTTGTATCAGTTGGAGAGAGTGGATTTTTGTTGCGGACTTTTTTGGTGCTTTTGAAATGGAAAGTGGGAATGGGGGATTGGGTAGTGTTTTTCTCTTTTGGAAGACAGTGGTTTTCTACAGGGGAGGGGCTCCACCCCACGAAGCGGGATTGGAGACCTTGCTGCCCCTGAATCTGCAGTTCTTTGACATTGTATTTTTGCCTCAGGCACTGGGTCCTAGTAAAACTACTGTTTCTTGTTAGTTCCATGACATGGCAGAACGGCATATGTGAGGAGAAAAATATGAAGGCAGCTTTCAGAAAAGGGACCAAAAAAAACAAAAAGAGAATGCAATTTTACATCAGTGGTGGCAAGCTACATTCCGGCGCGATGAATAGTGGCGGATGTAGTTTGTCACCTTTCCTCCCCTCCCCCCCCAAACCCCCTCCCCCCC